ATAGATACAGTGGAATATTATTCAGCCATAAAAAAGAATGGAATCTTGCCATGTATGGGTCTAGAGGGTATTATTCTAAGTGAAATAAGTCAGACAGAAAAATACAAATACCATGTGATTTCACCTATATGTGGAATCTAAAAAACAAAACAAATGAACAAACAAAGCAAAAGACAAACAAACTCATAGATACAGAGAACAAACTAGTGCTTCCAGAGGGGAGGGAGGGTGAGAGAATGGATGAAATAGGTGAAGAGGATCAAGAGGCAAAGATTTCCAGTTATCAAATAAATGACTCATAGGGATGTCGTGCACAGCATAGGGAATATAGTCAACAATATTGTAATAATGTTATATGATGACAGAAGATAACTAGATCATTTCATAATGTATAAAAATATCAAATCACTACGTTGTACACCTGTTACTAATATAATATTGTATGTCAATTATACTTCAATAAAAAATAAAATAAAATAAAGTGGAAGTGTTTAAATAGCTCTGCTCCCACAACTGACTTGTTTAACCTCTGCAAATAGAAATCACCTAGTTGATCATCCCAGTTAAACATTTAGTGCCAACATATATGTAATCTGTCTATTTCTCCACTAAAATGAAAGTACTAGCCCTCAAAACCCAGGATAGTAATTGGAACATAGCAGATATTTGATCAGTGTTCATTGAACTGAGTTAAAAAACCTAAAGGAAAATATAGTCAGCATGCCTCTAAGACTAGCAGATGCCAATCCTATACATTTTTTTTTTATCAGCTTAAAAATACTAATTCCCTGGTTGTATCCCAGTCCTAATGAATTAAAATATCTGCAGTCAGGGTTTGGAAATTTGCATTCATATGAACCTCCCCGCCAAATATGTTGTAGATGTAGGAAAAGTTTGAAATAGAAAAGGGAAGTGGAGAAGATGGAAAAACCAAAGGTAGATATTTTCTGGAGGAGGCCTGGAGGAGATGAGAGACCCCAAGGGAGTCTGTGCAGGTTGCAGCACGAGCCCCCGAAGCCTAGGACGAGAGCTGCACAGCCACCAGGAAGCCAGCACTCTCTGCCTCACCATCTCGGCTTCTCTTTCCACATGTGTTTTATTTTTCTCAACCTGTAGACAGGCTTCTCTTGCTTCTCTCTGCACATGGTCATTGTCTAGCCCCCAGGTTTACATCAGGTCAGTGCCAGACACACACACACTTAGCTGAAGTTCAGGAAACTCAACAGAAGCCCAGGAGAGAGAGAGCAGACGGGCCAGGCTCTGGTCAGCGTCCACCACTGATCTCATTCCCTGAACTAGAGGAGGTCCGGTCATATACCACCAACAGAACTGCCTGAGATACCTCTGCAGTTGAGAAGGCAATTCTGGGGAAAAAACAATGCTGTGATTGGATCTACCCAAGGACATCTCTTATCCCATAGTTCAAGGGACCAACACAGAGAGTTCTTCCAAAGATCTTTCTTCTGATCTTGGGACCAAGGATATCAGGAGGCTGAAACGTACAATTCCAAAACCAAAATAATTAGAAAAGTCTTGGAGGTTTAACTGGAGGAAAAGCACTATTAGGAGGGGGGAAAGACAATCAAAAAACCCCAAAGTCCAAACCATTGTCAGTTATATTATCTGTGTAATGGGATTCTTCGATGTGGTTCTGGGTCTGGACCTCAGATGTTGTCAGAGGATGGGGTTACATCATCACTTTCTCAACACGGCTCTTTTCATCTGAGGTGGATGTGGGCGTTACTTGGCCACCGTGACATATATATTCCGCATGGATGCCGCCCGGTGGAGTTGGATGGCACCCATCTCTCCACACAGCTGTTAACATCCTTCAGTCTTAGGGGTTGAGGAGGCACTTGGCTTGGGAGTAAAGGAACCAGAAGGAACTGGATTCTTCTTCCTAATTCCTTCTCCCTCCCACAAGTGAAACAAACAAAACAACAACAGAAAACCATTAGATGGACCGGGGTGGGCTTGACTGAGGCCAGATTGCAGGGAAACAAATGATCAGAGCCCTTGAAAGGGAGTAGAAAGATCTGCACAAGCAAGTTGGCCAGTGCACCCAGGGCCGGAGTCCAGTCCAGCCCTGCCCCCTGCTTAACGCAGTACTTCCAGAACCCCAGTGCTAAAACTGAGGTTCTGATTTAGTAGGTCCGGGCTGGGCCCAGATACCGTATTTCTAATACATTTGCAGGTGATGCTGATACTATTGACCCATGGGCCATGCTTTGAGCATCAAGTCTTTAGGGAACATAAATGGGTAACTGAAAGAGCTCAGTTAATATTTGAGACTCTTTTCCCGTGTGGAACAGACCATAACAAGATAGACTCCTTTCCCCAACAATGGCACCAACCTCCTCTCACCCATCACATCACTCATTTATCACAGCAGTCTCTGGTTCTACTAAGGGCAATGAAGTTAGTAGACTGCTTGTTTTATTAGAAGTTCTGCAGTAGAACATGAGGCAGGCCCGGAGAGAGAGGGAAGAAGCAGAAAGAGATATAGGAGCGCAAGCAGCAGGCAGCAAGTTGGGTCACAAAAGAACAGAGGAATTAACAATCTCAAGTCACCATAAGAAATATCAGGAGAGGAAAATTACCAAAAAAGACCAAAAACTGCCGATAAAATGAATGGGGTTTGAGGCCATTATAATTTGGGGCTATTAATACAAAGAGGTTCGTAAATATGAGACATAAAATTAAATCTACAGCAAGGCATCTAATTAAACCTGTGAGCCAGAGAGCTCCAGAAAAATTAATAGGAAACACAGAATGATAATTAAAAACTAATTATATTAATAGGAAAAATGCCACTGATATTCTCTTTATTTAATAGCTGCCATTGTTGTTTTATGTTAATGAACATTACAATTATTAGGCATTTCATGGTTCATTCTCAATCTATATATCCAATATTACTTTTCAATGAAGACTTTAATGTTGTCAATCAAGAGTTCTTCCAATAGGTTTCTATATTGGAATTCGATGCAATTGTACCGGAATTGTATGAGGTGTTGCTACTTGAAGAACTCAACCAAAAATTTTAGATTTACCATTAGAGCAGATAACTCAAACTTACAGCCCAGCTTAATCTGATGGGCAAACCTTTTTTGTTTATATATGTTGTCATAAAAATTCCTGCATTGGCATGCCTTTAGATAGGCTGTGCGCTGTTGAACTGACTACAGTTCCCAGCTCAGATGGGCAACTTAGTGCATTTACCTGCCTGGATTCTGAATGTATTTCAGTTTGCAACCCCCGTATTGAGTATTTTAAGGAGATAAGTTCTCCTTTCCATTGGTCATCAAAACATAAGTAATTTTGATATTTGTGTTTAGATGTAAAGTTAACTCTCTGAGTGGTTGACTGCAAGGAGCTTAATATTTACAAAGGGATATAGGACATATACAAAAATAACCATAAGATAAAGTGGAGCATAATAACTGCTCTCAGGCAAGAAATAAGGTTTTTGAGAGCACAGAGGAAGAAAGTCCAGTCTCCAAAGAGTTCTCTGAGCTAACCGTTGAAGAAGGGACAGAATTTAACAATCAATCAGAATGACCTGGAAGTCTGGAAGTGGTATGGCGAGGAGGGAAGAGACGGAGTAAAGTCCCAGATGTGGGAAAATCCAGGGCATCATCAAGGAAGAGCAAGCAAGTGTAGCAACGTGGGCATGAAGAACAGTAAGAGGGGAAAACAGGACACATTTTCTTAGAGCAAAATGTCGTTCTGTTGCAGCTCTCACCGGCTCCATGCTCTCTGTCTCTTTCACCTGAGAGCAGTGCAGCTATTAGACACCAACATCTGAACCTGCTTATTTGTATTCTGGTCCTAATTATTAGCCTCTCACCCAGGCTGAAGGCCTCCTGATCACTGGTCTTCTTTTGATCCTCATTCCCGAGGAAGCATCACAGAACTCTTGTTCATGAAACCCACCAAGCACCCTCCCCTCCACATGCTCTGCACCAGCCTCCTTACTCTCTTCCCTCGCTGCTCAGGCTTTGGTCTGTCTGACTCTGCCTCTTCTCTAAGCTGCGCCAGCCCAGGCCCCAGCACGCCCAGGTCCCCACAGCGTGGGCGTTCACTGTCTCGTGGACCCGGGGCACCGATCTCTGACTTACTACTATCCATTTTCTCTAGTCACTTCCAATCAAACCTGTGGGATTTTCCTATTTCTGATAATGATTCCTTTATCTCACAGTCACCCAACTGAAAAAAAAACAAAAACCATTGGGTCATGTCCTCTTTTATCCTGCACGCCCAGTTATTCACCAAATCCTCATGCTTTTTCCTGTCTATTCCCCGACTCTCTGGATATCAGAACCTTGGCACCCAAACTATTCCCACAAGAGCCTTATACTTACCACAGTGACAATGGCCCTTACTCAGTGCCAATTCATCCTGAGCACCTTCATCATAACATTCCCTGCAAAAATGCTAAATGTCTCCGTATTTCCCCATAGATCAAAATTAGATTCTTTTGGTTGGCTTTCAAAGACCCTCACAATCTGACTCAACTCGACTTGTTCCTGTCTCTCCATCCTGTTCTCAGCAGTGTGCCCACTCCCAGTTCTGCACGCACGGCTGGTGGTGCTAGTGTTCTTGAAGCTGAAATGACTCCTCCTTTTTCAAACTCAGTTCATCACTGTTCCTCAGGAACCTTCTCCTGACTCCTCATTGATTTTTTTCACCCTCCTAACTTCTATATACAATCTATATCACATTGTTTCATACATCTTTATTTTAATACTGATTTCTGTTATTTCACATTTGTTCATTATGTCTTTGCAATTAACTTAGAGTAGGTTCATGATTTTTGATTTTTTGTTTTGTTTTACTATCATTTGAAGAGTCCAACGTGATGTTGAGTATGGCATGGGAATTTCATAAGTGGTTATTGAATAATGAGTTAGAGAAAGAGTTTCAATAGTGAACAGCTAGAATAGATTTAAATAGTTATGTGAAAGGTGCTGGACCAAACAGCTACAATGCAAACTTACCAGAGAAGACACTAGGTATCTTGGAAAGAAAGCTTTTGACTGTACGAATAGGAATTCCATTTTTTTCATCTTGCATGCGGGCGATGACGTCTTCCATCTAAATAACAATAATAAAACAATTAAAACCTTTTGTAAGTTGAACTTTTTGATAAAAATCAGTTCTCACAACAATTTTGTACACCAGTTTTGCCCAACTAAGATTAATGCCATATTCTTGCCTTTCTAGACTTTGTCACATTAATACCTTCACTTTGGTTAAAAGATAACGGAGAAGACAGCAAGAAAAGTGGCCCCATTTCAGAGTCCATTAAGCTCCTAAGGGGAATTTTGTGCTTTGAATATTACCTTTCTCCTGATTTCACATTCTTTGGTTACAAAGGTTGAAATCGACGAGTGCTTATTTTTCAAGCCGTCAGAAACCACTGTCATAGCAAAATCCACACTTCATTAATATTATCCCTACTGAACTCGGTGAGAAAGAAAATAGAAACCTTAAAAGCTTCTGCTTGGATTTCCTCCTCAAGCAAGAGAGTTTCCATGTTTTGGTTTAGGGTAAACTTCAAAAACTTGCCGAGGAATACAAAACTGACTGCCAGCAACTCCTACTTCTCTTCCCCAGGCATTTACTGAGGTGCGGTAGGAAATCACGCATGCACACACACACGTAATACAATGAATGTAACACCATAGCCTTCCGCCCATTTAGCGGATTCCACCGCTAAAGAAAGTATCTAACTTTCTTTCAATCTGGTTACTACATGTGCCTTTGCTTTTGAAAAATTTTCACAGTTTTAAAGGGCTGTGCTTTACCAAGTCTAATGTGGAATTTAGTTCTGAATAACATTCATTGAAACCATAGCCTCAGACTTTCCTTGTGTGCTTCTAATCCTGTGGCACATGTATATGCACAAACACATGCACGTTTGTAGTACAGAACTCAACATCCATTCCTTCGTTTCCTCATTCCACAAACAGTTACTGATCCTGACTCCAGACCAGACTCACCCCTGGGCACTATGATATGAAAATGAATATAACACAGTTCCTGCCCTCAAACAATTCACAGTTAATATTGAAAACAATGGTGAAATTTGAGTAAGGTTTGTGGTTTAGTTAATAGTGTTGTACCAATGTCAATATCCTGTTTTTGATAATTATGCTAGAATTATATAAGAGGTTAATATTAAGGCATATGGGAATTCTCTGTACTATTTTTGCAGCTTTTCTATAAGTCTCAAATTACCTCAAAATAAAAAGTTAAAAAAATCACAGTCGAAACTTTATATTAATGAATTATCAAATTCTCATCAACGCTTCAGAACGGTTTTCAACCCAGAAACATATTTGCCTGGATAAGGCAAATTTATTAGCATGAGAAATAACTAGGATGTGGGGAGAATGAGTTTGAGGTAAGACAGATCCGCATCTGACTGTCAGCTCTTCTCATTATCATCCTGTTACTTGGAGCAAGTTAAATGACCTCTCGAAGCCTTAGTTTCCTCATCCGTAAAACAGCGATAATACTATTTATAGTAACTCTTTCACAGTGTTCGTAGGGGTGGGTTGGGGCTGAGGTGGGGTCAAGTATTTTAAGGTTAAATGATACAACATACACAAAGCATAGAACATAGATGGACAATCAACGCTGGACTTTAAATGCCCACGCACACCCTTGATAGTTGGGGACGCTTGTTCTCCATCCTTCACGTTTCTTTTTCATGTGGGGGGAGCATCATTAGCCTAATTCTCCTGCCTGTTTCTGCCCCTACCAACTCACTCCACTCCAGAGGAGTGAGACTGACTGATTATGTAGAAAAACTGGCTTGCAGGGTTGATCTCATTTCTTTTATTTTCTTTTAATTAATTTTTTGAGGTCATATTGGCTTATAACATTGTGTAAATTTCAGGTATACATCACTATATTTCAGTTTCTGTATAGACTGCATCATGCTCACCACTTACAGTCCAGTTTTTACCCATCACCATATATGTGTATCCCTTTACCCCTTTCACCCTCCCCTGACCCCCTTCCCCCTGGTAACCACTAATCTGTTCTCCTTATCTATGTATTTGTTTATCTTCCACATATGAGTGAAATTATATGGTATTTGTCTTTCTCTGCCTGACTTATTTCACTCAGCATAATACCCTCAAGATCTATCCATGTTGCTACAAATGGCACAATTTTGTCTTTTTCATGTCTAAGTAGTATTCCATTGTATATATATACCACATCTTCTTTATCCATTCATCCATTGGTGGGTAGTTGGGTTGCTTCCATATCTTGACTATTGTGAATAATGCTGCAGTGAACATAAGGGTGCATATATCTTTGTGAATTATTGATTTCATGTTCTTTGGACAAATACCCAGTAGTAGGATAGCTGGATTGTATGGTAGTTCTATTTTTAATTTTTTGAGGAATCTCCATGCTGTTTTCCATAGTGGCTGCACCAGTTTGCATTCCCACCAGCAGTGTATGAGAGTTCCGTTTTCACCGCATCCTCTCCAACACTTGTTATTTCTTGTCTTGTTAATTATAGCCATTCTGATGGGTGTGAGGTGATATCTCACTGTAGTTTTGATTTGCATTTCCCTAATAATTAGCCTATCCCTTTTCTAAGGGAAGCCCACTTCCAACTCTGCTGATCTGGAGTAGGTCTGTTCAGGACTGGGATTCAGGATTAAAGCTGACACGTGCCCAAACTCTCTTCATTAACAGCTTTATCAGCAATCAAGGAGACACTGCGACCCCTCTGCCTTACTCTTTGGTTGTGATTCTCAGTTGGTTTCAAATTCAGGTAGAAAAGGAAGTTTTTTTTTTCCTTTATCACTCTCCCCTAAAGCCCCAACAATAACCAAATACCCTACTTCTTTTCATGTAATAAAGATATCTCATCTAAGCATAGAAACATGGAAATAGATACATTTTTATGACTTTTCATTTTGCCACTGTTTGCCCTTCATTCACCCGATACAGTGTTCAGAAATGAAGAGTAAGCTCCTTTGCCTTGCCTAGTATCAGCCTGTAAGCCCTTGTATTATCAGCTTAATGGTTTAAACCCGGCTGGATTAGACAGACATGGAAACCTCTCTGACTCCCACTTTAATCACCTGAGCACCCCAGGATGTGGCAACAATCACCTCTGTTTGGGGGCTGAATTAAGGTGCATCGCTATGCATAGAGGTGTTTTCTCTGCAAAGGCACACCACCCCTCAGTTCACCGAATCCAGAAGGAGCGAGATTAGGAATCTGAGAAGTGAAAGTGACCTCTGGAGTTGTTTTTGAAATCTTCAATTTTTCAGAGCCATAATTGCCACAATAAAAAAAACTTTAAACTCCATGTAAAAACAGGATTTGTGTTCTAGACTGAAAATGTGATCACAGAAATGTATTCAGTTGTTTTTATCTTTATTCAGATGTGATTTATCCATGAACCTTACCATGGCCTAGAAGGAGCAAAAAAACAAACCAAACAACAAAATAAAACAAAAACAAAAGCCAAGACAAAAACCAATCTGGTTTCTAAAAGCTAAAATCAGTCACAAAGGCTACATATAAAAACACATCCATTTTATTTACCGACATTCCCTTAAGCATTCAGAGTCTATTTATTTTTATATTAAGCATGGTTTTAACATGCTGGATTATCTGCTTTCCCTCTATTAGCAATAGCAAAGGGGATGAGACGGAGAATGCTAAAAGCAGACAAACTAATAGAGCGAGCCAGACACCAAGAGGGATGAGAGACTATAAAAAGCAAATCCAATAAATTGTAAAACTCTTTGGGACAATTTAATTTAAGGTCAAAAGACTCAGATATCTCCAGCATCCCTAAAGATGATATATGTACACACACACATCCATCTGTCTACCTATCTATCTATCTATCTATCTATCTATCTATCTATCTATCTATCAATTATATATCTATCTTCATAAGGATGGCATTGGGCTGTAAAGAGTTAGAGCGTGTTTTCATTCTCATAAGCCAGTTTCCGAGGGTCAGGAAACTTTGAGCATGGGATAACAGAACATAGGACTATGGGCAGGACAGGTGGGCGTGACTTGGGTCTCCGAGGCTCTCTCTGAGTCTTATTTTCTTCACCCTAAGATAAGAGGTTAGAAGCAGATGATCTGTAAGATTTCTTGTAGCTACAAAATTATTGAAGTCTGGACATAATCACCAGTGTTCAGAACTGGGTAAGTTTCCTCACTTAAACCAAAGAGCCAGTTCCCTGTCAGAGACAAATAGATGAACCTATTAAACTGAACAAGACTTTTACAAATGTATCTGCTTCCAGCTGTCAGCACATTATAATTTCAATGCAAAGAGTCAAGTGATTAAGAGCATGCATTTAGACCAGTCAGATCTGAGTTTGAATCCTGACTGCGCTACTTACAACTTACAAGCTGTATGAACAGATAAGTTACTTTATCAAAGACACATTTTTCTCATCTGTAAGATGAAGATAATAATAATAGTATACATCTTATTATGGCTGAAGATTAATGAAACAATGCTAATTAAATGTTTACCATAAAGCCACCATCATCATCATCTCATCATCGTCATCATCACCATTATCGTAATCAACATAAGTTTCTTCTATCATCACTGTACTAGGAAGCCACAGATCCTATCTTTCTTTTACAGTCCAGCTGGCAGACAACTGTGGTCAAGTGTCAAATATTTATTAGAAGCTACAAATTGTCAATCACAAAGTAGTCAGAGATACCTAGGGTAGTAAGCTCTCTCAGATTTCTTGTAGACTGGATTTGTGTTATCCCCTGAAATATAGGGGATTTGATTAGAAGAAATGTCAAGAAGAATATTTTTGCATAGAAGCAAAAATAAGCAAAACTAATATTTGTATGTATGTACATATAATATATGTAAACTAAGCAAAAATAATATTTAGAAGAAAGGGGGAAATGAGATTGCATCCATTTTTGGCAAGATGAAAGTGTCTCTGCTCTCATAGTTTCTTGATGAATTTGCCTCTTGAAGTTCTTTAGAGGATCAAAAAACTGAATTGAATTGAGATTGAGTACTCTTTGCAAAAGTAATCTTTTTTCTATGAAAACTAATTCTC